GCAGCCTTGGGAAACTCACCCATGCCGTTTTTGCTCTTCCAGCCACAGAACTGGAAGCTAATAAATGGGTCTTGTTTAACCCACTAAGCTCGTGGTGACTGACATGCAGCAAAAACAGATCTGAGTTTGATTTGTTTTAAGATTTTATTTATTCATGAGAGACACAGAGAGAGGCAGAGACATAGGCAGAGGGGAGCCTGATGCAGTACTCGATCCTGGGACCCTGGGATCACTACCTGAGCCAAAAGCAGACACTCAACCACTGAGCCACCTAGGTACCCCACATCTAGGGTTTTTTCAGCCAGATTGTGTGACTTTCTGGATCATTTTCTCCTCCTTGACACATTTTACTCTTTACCTCTCTCTTCACATTCTCTTCCTACCTCCCTGACCCTTCCTTTCCATATTTCCCTGGGAGTTCCTTGCCTGGCCACGCTCCAGATGCTGGTGACCCTTGACTGTTACCCAGGTGTCCTCATCCCTGACCTCCGCCAACATAGGTCTTCCTCTGTGGCTTCTGCTTGCGTGTCTCTCAGGCACCCTCGGCTCAGCCTGGTCCCAGCTGGATTTGTGTCTTCTCCACACCACCCCCTCCCACTACCACCTTCTCACTGCCTTTTCTTGTCCCTCTTTCCAAATTAGAACCCGTTTCTTGCCTTACTGCCTGAATCTGACCTCTCCCTTAAAAGTAGGAACAGTGTTGAAGACCAATTTCACTTTCAGGGAAATTGTGAAAATGATTTTGTTTCCTTAAATCAGAAGAGAAGAAAACCAAACACTTTTCAAGTTGAAGAAACTGCTTTAATATATCATGTTAATGTATTTGTCTTTATGACAGTGCAGTTGGTAGAATGCAACTTAAGAGGGGTCCACAGAAGCAGAAGACCCATGAGAGTCCCACATAGCCCTGACCCCACCTAGTTTCTAAGGATGTGGACATTTGTACTGATGGTGGCATGCGTCACCTTACCTGTGGCCCTGAAAGTGGGGTAGGTGCTTTTTGAGGTGATCTTAATGGATGGAGCTTTGGTTCCTGGGAAGGGTTGCAAATCGCTGGTGATTTGGAGCTGCTGTGTTGGCCATGCCTGCCCTGGCAGGGGTCGTCTGAGCTGGGAAGTTCTCTCTTGCCTTCAGCTACTTGCCTCTGTGTTTCGGTACTTGTCTCACGATGAATAGAAGTGGCCAGTTCCTCCAGCAGGTGTGAGGGATTCTCTGTCCCCTGGTCAGGCACTCTAGTTCCATTCTGAGTGTCACCCCAAGGGGACTGTGACAGGTCCATGCAGCCCCTGCGTGCCACCCCATGGCCCACCCCACGGATGTGCGCACTTCCAGAGAGCAAAGGGAGAGCACGTTGGTCAGAGCAACTGAATCTAGTCTGGGAATCAAAGAGATGACATTTTGAAGGTGCGTCATGCTTTGAAGCCTGTTAGCCAGGAACCCAGGCAATCCACCTTCCAGAGGGCTAACTTTAGTGCTGAAAATGCATAGATGAGTCTTTGGCTCACGCAGTGCCCCAGCCAGGAAGCCACCCTGGCAAGAACCTGTTAGAAACATGTGATCCTCTCTAGGCTATTATAAGATCCAAGAGAGAATCAGCGTTTTCTGAACCCTTTGCTGTCAGAACTGCAGCAGGGCAGTGTTGTTCTGACATAGGATCAGACCTGCTCATGCCAGTCTCATCCCATCATGAATAGAGGGCTGCACGCTGGGGATCCCTGGGTGGCTCAGCAGTTTAGCACCTGCCTTTGGCCTGGGGCGTGATCCTGGAGTCCCAGGATTGAGTCCCACATCGGGCTCCCTGCATGGAGCCTGCTTCTCCCTCTGCCTGTGTCTCTGCCTGTCTGTCTGTCTGTCTGTCTCTCTCTGTCTCTGTCTCTGATGAATAAATAAATAAATCTTAAAAAAAAAAAGAGGGCTGCACGCTTTTCAGGAGAGGGCCTTGCCTACTGTGCAGCTTTGGTGGGGCATCTGAGGTTGGCGTGTGTGCAGCTCTGTTCTTCTCTCTGATGCCAACATGTTTCCCCTGCATCTGAAGCTCAGACCCAGCTAAACACTAAAGTGCGTTGAGGAACTCTCAGAATCCTAGCATTGACAGGGACTTTGGTGGCTGTTGAGCCCTCATTAGCTGTGCAGACCTTCAACCTGGCCTTGCATCTCTCTGAGCCACCCATTCAGTTGTGGGTAGTGCTGAGGGCTAGTGGGGGTTCTGATGCTTGAACGCAGTGTTTCCTAGCCATTTGTATGTAGTCACTATGCTTCTGCCTTAGGAAGATCTTAATGATCATTTTACAAGACACCTCTCTTGCCAAAAGAAGCGGTTCTTGGACTCCTTCCATGCTCCTTCCCCAGGCTTAGTGCCACTCCCTCTGTTAGGGGCCAAATTGTGCCCCTTCAATTCTTGTGTTTTAGTCCTAACCTCCAGTACTACAGGATAGGGCCTTTAAAGAGATGATTAATTAATGTTAAAAAGATGTCATTGGGGTCAGCCCTAATCTAAAATGACTGGTGTCCTTCCAAGAAGAGGAGACTAGGACACAGACACACACAGAGGGACAGCCATCTATAGGCCAAGAAGAGAGGACTCAGGGGAAACCAGCCCTGGCAGCCTCTTGATCTCAGACTTCCAGCCTCCAGAACTGGGAGCAAGTACCTTTCTGTTTGTGATGGCCACACCCAGCAGACTGCTCCACCAACCCAGCACACCTCTCCTTGTGCCTTGTAAAGAGTAGCATCCAGAAGAACTGATCATGGTTTGGCCAAAGAAGCATAGCATGGTCACCATCCATATTATTATTTTTTTTAAATATTTTATTTATTTATTTATTTGACAGAGAGAGAGAGAGCAAGCACATAGAGGGAGAAACTGGGTTCCTACCAAGCAGGGAGCCCGATGTGTGGCTTGATCCCAGGACCCCAGGATCAAGATCTGAGCCAGAGGCAGACGCCCAACCAACTGAGCCACCCAGGTGTCCTACCACCCATATTATTAACGAGCCAGAATCCTATTAACTTGGCTGGTCATGGCATCCAGTGACCATCTCCAAAGGCTTTCATGTTTGTTTTCTAGAACTATTCTTGCTCAATCCCATTTCTTGCATCTTATACCAGACGCAGTTACTTTTTGAACTTGGTTGTGGGATTTTACATGTGGTCCTGTTAAATTTTGCCTGCTTTGGGCTGAGTGTGCCAGTGACTGCCCCCATACCTCAGGGAAGACTTTGGAAACCACCTGGGGTGTCATCAAGGTTTGGGGCCTGAGGGGTTCCCACAACACACACCCCATTCCCCGGTGAGAACCCGGGGTTTGGATGGAGGATTTCCTTTTGAATGACACATGGGACAAAACTAACTGTCTCTAAGGTGGATATCAGGCTGCACAGTGCCCAGCATGGGTACGATGGGGTTTCAGGTAGGTATGAATCTCAGCCTTAGGTGCGAAACCCATGGTAGTGGCCACAAGAATTGGGCTTCGCTGAAGGAGAGAAGACAGGTTCTGAGAAATGTCCTGGCTCAGCCAAAATCACGTGTGATGTGTGACACAGGCAAAGCTTGGCTTCTCTATCCCTGTCAAAGAGATTTCTTCTGAGAATTGAGGCGAGAAAGGTACAGAGATCCCAAAACGAAATGGAGTCCTGCCACGTTATGTAAAAGATGTTCTATATCATTAAGCCATTGCCTGCCAGGCTGCAAGAAAGTAGGGTCCTCCCTGAGGACATCTCAGGTGAGTGTTAGGGACAGGATTAGCCCTCAGAAGATGAGCTGCTTTTGGAATTAGACCCATTCACCGATTCTTCATCTGCCTCAGGAACATCAGACACGGTATTTAGCATGTGATTGAAGTAATCTGACCAAGGACAGATATTGTGGACAGGCCTGGGTCCTCTCCGGGGCCATGTTGTTTTTTCACAGCAGAGCATCATTGGCTGTCTGCATGGACAGGCCTGCAGTTCTGTGTCTCAAAGGACAGTCAGGGGTAGCCTCATGGCCAACCCAGTGTCTGTTGTCCCTGGGGCATCTGACAGGCACAGGCGAGCACTATTAGCTTGCGACATGCTGCCGTAAAGGCACCTAAAACATTCCACAAGAAGAACTCCAGTCCCTTAAGGAGAACAGTAGTTAGTACCCATATGACAAATTCTTCACGACTTGGTCAGTCATTGGGTGGACCGGACTCTTCTCAAATCCATTCCCGTTTCCAGTGATCTCCCTTTTGGTGATGTTCCTGGAAGGTGTTCATGGGACAAAGAGTGTAAAACTTGCTTGCTAATCCCAGTACAACCTCTTTGCTGGTCCTAGCAACTCAGGGGAGTTTTGAATCCCTGCTCCTGACTTCTCTTCTGCCTGTATGGTGGCTACTCTGAATAATAAAGGGCAACAGTAAATACAGATGCACTTTGTGTGTTAGAAAGCTGTGTTCAGGGGTGTCTGGGTGGCTCAGTCGGTTAAATGCCCAACTCTTGGTTTCAGTTCAGGTCATGATCTCGGAGTCATGGGATCGAGCCCCATGTCAGGCTCTGTGCTGAGCTTATAGCCTGGTTAAGATTCTCTCCCTCTGCTCCTCCCACTCCCACACCCCCCAAAACCAACAACTGTATTCAAATGGAAAGTACAGGGACAAGCTTACAGGTGAGGTGGCCTTAAACTTTTATTTAATGTAAATTAAAGCTCCAGACTGGGGGATGTGTTTGCGTTGACCTTAGCTGCCAGATTCGCTACTTGTAATAGTTTGACCCTTTTCTTCTCTACCTTGACATTTCTAAACTGAAAAGTTCTGCCAAGCCACCAGCTGCCTGGGCTCCATGGTGGCCTTGGGAGTTCCCCATGGCCTCTACAGGCTGAGGAGGCAATGGGGTGGGAGGGCTGCAGAACCAGCAGCTCATGGGAGAGGTGGCTTTTGCACCCAGTATTGGCCCAGCGAGGGCAGCCTGTGCTTTCTGAAACCTTGGGCCCCAGCCTGACATTCCATGAGCTCATGTGATTCCTTTGTATTTCTGTTCAAGATTTATGTCCACCTGAAGGAAGGCGGGGGTCCTGATGGGCTAGATGCACTGAAGAATAAGCCTCAGCTCCACAGCATGGTGGCCCGAAGCCTGTGCCGGAACGCAGCTGGCAAGAACTACATCATCTTCACGGGGCCCAGCATTACCAGCCTGACCTTGTTTGAGGAGCTGGAAAAGCAAGGTTTGTTGTGTGGTGAGCCGGTCCTGAGTGTGGCCCCTGCCCCCTGGAAAAGTTGGTGGCAGGGGAGCCTGGGGGGTGCAGGTGCGTCGCAACCAGCACACACCATAGGCTGCTTGGCCAGGGGGGAACATGATGGTTTCATCCTGCCACATGCCTGGACCCTGCTGGGCACTGGAGATCAGAAGGGACACCTGCCACCGGCTTGAGCTCTGGGGGGCATGCATGGCATGTTGGCGCAAAGCTCTACCCGGGGCACAGTTGAGAGACCATGGCCATTGAAGGGGCCTTCTAGTGGCTAAGTCCATTCGGGCTGTTCTAACAAAATACCATAGCCTGGGCGGCTTATAATCAGCAGCAGACATTTATTCCTCAGAGCTCTGGAGGCTGGGAGTCAAGATCAGGGCGCCAGGTAGGTCAGGTGAGGGCCTCTTCCAGGTTGCAGACCTGAAATGCCAGAAGCTACAGGGAGCTATCTGGGGTCCCTGTCCATAAGGGCTCTGCTCCCATTCATGAGGGCTCCACCCTTATGACCCAGGCCCCTCCCAGAGGCCCCACCTCCTCATCCCATGGTCTTGGGCATTAGGCTTTCAGCAGAGGAATTTGAGGGGAACACAGACATTTGCTCTGTAGCACCTAGACACTCCTCCTGCTAAGGCCCTGAAGTCTTCAGACCTATAATGTGACCTCTCCAGTTGACATGGATGTCACGGAGAATTACGTAGATGAATACAGGCTGCAGTGCAGCGGGCCTCAGAAAATTCTTAGTATCCCTTGGTGCTGAGGTGCTTTGTTCATCAGTTGAAAGATTGGAAAGCCTTCGTGGCTAAGACAGAAATGGGGGCTCTAGAAGATGTGGACTGAGTCAGGGAGCCCAAGAGCAAGCTGCATATCCTTTGCTTTGTCCTACATTTTGGGGATTTATATCTTGTCCACTCGGGAGAAACATAAAAAGCTTCTGCTCTGCTATGTCAGCCACTGGAATTGCAGACCTATTGCTTAGCAACGGATCAGACATCTAGCCTTAAAACAGAATCCTCTCAAGTAATGGGGAGCCAAGGGCTTCTGACCTTGACCTCAGCCACAGTGATGAGGAATCAGCCCCTGGACTCTGTGCTCTGCTGGCTCTGCTGTGTCTTACTCATCTGCAAGGTCCAGTGCCCCATTGGGCTTGGTTTTTAATTGTGGGGAGAACTCAGGGTGGAGAGAACACTATATGAAGAGGGGTTGTAGAAGTCAAGTTGGAAAAAAATTGGCGCTAATGTGTGTTAACCAGCCACTTTGGGAGAATGATGGGTTCCCACGTTAGGGGTGTGGTGAGAGCCAGGGCTCCCTTCCCCACTCGCCTGCTCATTCAAGTCCTGGCGTGGGTGCAGAGCCATGGTTCTCAATTGTCCCTACGCTGTTTGCACCAGCCCCTAGGGACTCTGGCTGCGCTGGTGTGGGCTGGTGCCCCCCAGGGGATTCCCATGGGCAGCCAGGATTGAGGAGGGGCATCGTAGCGGAGAGTCTGGCTGTCCCTCCGTGGGTGTACAGAGACTACTTTGTAAGACAGCCAGAAAAGACATTTATATAAGAAGTGCTGTTTTCATGAAGGGGCAGATTCATGAAGTTTGGATGCTATTTGAATTTTCTTTTTCCCCCTTATAAAAATGTACCTGCTCTTTGGCTGGTCATGTGTATTGATGGCTGAGCCCTGGGTGGATGACTTAAAACATACTTTACCTTGTTCGCCTAATCCTCTCCACTGTTTTAAAAATAGTTTCTTATTTTTAAATAATAAGACTGGAGTGGCTGGAGGAGTTCCTGCAGAGGTGTGAGTGGCCAGGAGTGCTCTTATTTTGAGCAGCAAGACTGGACCGTGCCACCCAGGGGGTCCTGCTCTGCACCATTTGAGCAGCAAAGGGAACCTCCTGAGGGAGGCAGCTCCTCAGGGTGTCTGTCCAGGGTGGGGTGGAGGTGGATGAGGGAAGCATGTGCACAGGTTACATGATGAATCAGTGTCAGTCTCCAGTGAGCTTTAGTCTTTGACCCAAGACCCTGGGGATGAGACCGTCCCCAGCCACTTCAGGCAGAAGTGCCGCTCCGCGTCGCCTCCAGGCATCCAGACCAGACCTGGCTACAGGGAGGAACAGACTCCCCGTGGCCCGCTCAGTGGGGCAGGCCCATGCTGGGGAGGACCAGGAAAGGCCTTGAGCCCAGGGTGGAATTTGCTGAGCCCTCCTTGTCCACACTGTGCTCACCATCCCTCCTGCTCCGCCCCGGAACCTTCCTGTGCATCAAAGGCCACACTGTTGCTCCTCCCTCGGGAGGCTTTATGTTCAAAGGCAGGACACTGGCTGGATGCATATTGCTTAATGATTATTGCCTCTGCATTTAACTTACCTCCAAGGGGACGGGGGCTCCGTCTTGCACACTGCCTCTGGGTGCTTCTGGGTGCAAGCAGAGGGCTGGACCTGCGGCTGGTTGAATCTTGGCAAGAGTGTTAAGGGGTCATGGTGTGGTCAGACTTGGATAACAGACAGACCTGTGCTTAATCCCTGCCTTTGCCCTTCCAGCCGTGAGCTTGGGGGCCTATTGGAGCTGCACTTCCTCTCCTATAATGTGGGTAGGATGACCTGAGTGCAGAAGTTTCTAGAAGCAGATAGCAGGATGGGTACCCATGCTGAGCACTGTGCCTGGCACACAGTGGGTGCTCTAAGGACGAGACCCCTGTTGGTACTGCTGATGGCTCACGTGATGGTCTCACGTGTAATTGTAAAGATACATATGGAAGTACTGGGAGGGAGAGACGGCACGTCTGGGATCCAGGTCCCCAAACTGTCACAGTCTCTTCTCTAGGACCCACCCCCCAAGCATCAGCACGCTTTCTGCACGGGGCCTCCCCGCCGGTGTGGCCACAGCTTTGTGTCCCTCTCCCCGCAGAGATTTACTGCTGCGGCCTGCTCAGCTCCAGGAAGAGTGACTGCACCGGCCTGCCCCCGTCCATGCTGAGCAACCCGGCCACCGCCCCGGCGCGGGGCCAGCACCGCATCAAGATGAAGGGGAACATGTCTCTGATCTGCTGGTACAACAAAGGGCACTTCCGCTTCCTGACCAATGCCTACTCGCCCGTGCAGCAAGGTGGGGCCCCGCGGGGTGTCGGTGGGGCCGTGGGGTTTTGGGCGGCTCTCCCCTCGGGTGGCTCCCAATCCTCGGCCGCTCCTGGGCCGGGCTCTGACCACGCTGTGTCGGACGGGGGGCGAGAGCTGTCTGGGCCCGCGGGCTGCCAGCTGCTGCTGCTGGTGGCCTGTGAGCAGGAGAGAAGCCGCGACGACGGGATTGGCAGGTGCCCCGGCTTGTGCGTGGCCGCCGAGAGTGGCGTGTACTCGATCACTTGATCACCCAGGATTCCCTGAAGAATCTGTTCTGACAAGACAGGAAAATATCAACTGTTTTATCAGTTCAGTGTCTTCCTCAGAGGTTAACCATTGGTGTTTTTTTTTGTTTTTTTGTTTTGTTTTTTTTTTTTTTTTTTTTTTGGATGTTCAGGTGATTCTGTCTTTAATTTTCCTTGGGGTTTAAAATCCATTCCTAAGAAAGGGATTTACTTAGCAAGCAGTCTCTAGTTAAAGCAACTACAGCTGAAACACTTTTAAACTGCTGAAAAGGGAGCTGGAAATGACCATGGGGCACTTTACAAAAATATTTACGGTTACATAGTGTATTTGAAAATCCCTGGTATTCCTTTATATTAGGACATCTTTCCTCTTTACTTCTGAAGGAACATTGCAAGGGGCTCAGTTGTGTGGGAGTGGTGTGGGGGGCACGTATGTGGGGCATGGGCTGTGTGTGTGTACGTGCCGTGCGTGTGAGTCACGTGTGTGTGTGGTGGTGTGTATGTGCACAATGTGTGTGTATATATGTGTGTGTGTGTAGTGTCTGTGGTGCATGTGGTATGTGATGTATATATATGTGGTGTGTGTGTGTGTGTCTGGGGTGTGTGGTGTGTATCTGTGATGTATATGTATGGGGGGGAATGTGTGCTTAATTAATGTCTGCCATTCATTTATTCCCATCCCTGACCCCCTGCACACACACTGAAGTTATGTTACATGTCAGTAGAGATGACAATCCAGGGATGCAAGCCTATGGGACCTAGGTTTACAGAGTTACGGAAAGCTGCCAGTTTCTCAAGGAAGGGCTGTGTGAAGGGCACTTAGAGGAAATGTTTGGAATTGACCTTGCAAGCTGAAGGCAAGAGTTTGAAATGGACTTCTAGACTCCTGTGACTGGGCAAGCATTCACAGGAGAATGTTCGGGAAGAGCTGTTCGGGTAGGAGCTGCCTCCCACTAAATTGTGCATGACAAATTGTAAATTATGCAATACAGTTTAAGATGGCAAAACCTTAAAACCCCAATCTCTAGGGTTGGGAGCCTTAAATCCATCACCAAGGGAACCAGCAAGGAGGCTATTGATGAGAAAGAAGAGAAAATGGGTAGGGTTGATTTTTAAATAGGCCAAAATTTGGTATTTGTGTTTCCTTCGGTTATAGTTTCCATTTCTAAAGTACTCTATTAGAAACCACAAAGTCCTGGGGCGCCTGGGTGGCTCAGTCTGTTAGCATCTGCCTTCGCCTCAGGTCACTATTTCAGGGTCCTGGAATCAAGCCCCATGTTGGGTTCCCTGCTTAGCAGTCAGTCTACTTCTACTTCTGCCCCCCTACACCCCTGCTCATGCTCGTTCTCTCCCTCTCTCTCAAATAAATAAAATATTTTTTTAAAAATCACAAAGTCTCAAATCTTAGACTCCCTTAAAAACCCCAGGGAGTATGCCCTGGCCCCTCTGGCAGCACCTCTGGAAAGTACCCCCAGGGTGGATGGTATGGGCACCCATGAGCCAGACCTGCTCTGGAGCAGGAGCACCCGGAGGGAAGGAGGCAGTGTGGAGAGCCCAGGCTGGGTGGCCCACCTCTCATCTCTATGGGAAATCCTTTTACTAGTCCACATCTCAGAGTATTTTTTTTTTTTTAATGAAGGGGAAGATATTTGCTTTTCAATGTATTTCAAAACCATGATTTTTAAAAACCACTTATTAGTATTTCATTTTTCTTTAAATGTCATAATTTTTCTGCCTCCACCCCCCCATTAATGATCCATTTTTTCATAATATGAATAATGATGTAGTGAATATTTCCATACTTTTGGGTACATCTTTGATCACTTCCTGAAAATAAATCTGAGAGTGGAACGGCTGGCCCGGAGGGTCTGAACACTTTGAAGGCTTTCAATGACATGTTGCCTAAAGACCGTCCTTACCACTATGACAGGCTAGGAGCGGACTGTTACTCCTCCTGTGTTTATCAACACAGATGTTGTTGTTTTGGTTTTTTTTTTCTAAATTTGTCAATCGTGGGTGAAAATGCTACAAAATTTAAAATCTGAATTGCATGATTATTGATGAGGTTGAGTGTCTCCTTGTGTATCTGTTGGCCAACTTTCCATGATTTCTTCTTGTCCACCTTTTCCTTTGAGGCACTTGTCTTATTGAAAGCAAATTTTATGCCTATAGCAAGTATTTTTCTGTATTTGTTTTCCCTTTGTGCTTTTATTTATTTAACAAGTTGTTTTTCATTCTGCATGGGAAGATCTGCCGATCATATTCTTTGTTCTTACAAGAGCTTTGAAAGTCCCTGCTCTGTCCAAGGGGCGGGATGAGTGTTAGATCACCTGGTTGTCTTACAGTGTGATTTTTGTGCTCTTTACAGTAACCCCCAGCCATCAGTTGGATTTTTACTTTTTTTAAGTGGCAAGAGTTGCTTGACCAAGCAGCCCTGTCTCTGTGCCTGAACCCTTTATAGAAAAATTCTTTCTTTTTCTTGTATTTTAAGTATCACCCAGAGGATGAAGTCTCAAATATTATAAAGAATGCCTTTGAGCTTGATACTCTCTCCTGCTGTGAATACACACACACACACACACACACACACACACACACACTTCTAAAAGTTGAACAGAATTTCCAATTTTAGAAAATATATAACTGGTGAGGAACATTTTAGGAATGGGCTTATTATTTCTTCTGGATTCTAAGGAAAGATGCCCCTTCTTTCAGAGAGTGTGAGCATGTGCACAGTCTTCTTAAAAGTTACCTGCTATCACATAGCCAGGGACATCTGTGTGCAGAACCAAACCTTTCTGCTTTTCTTCAGAAATCCATCTTGGATCTGTCATCTCCCTACCAGAGTCTTTGCCCAGAGTCTTTGCCCAATTGGGGTGCATACTCCATGAGACTGATGGGTGTCAGAATGTGTGTGTAGGACTGGGTCAGGTCTTGGCTCATTCATTCAGACTCACAGGATGGCAGAAAGAATGTCAGCCGTGCCGCACGTAGCCTGGGGAGGCGGTCGGCAGAACTGCCACTGCTGTGTGAGTGCACGTGTTTCTCCTACCAGGTCAGATAGTTTTCATGGCGCCACAGAGGTATGTACATAGAGTACATCTATGCACGGAGATTTGCATGGCTGTAAATGTGCAGGGTCCTTCCAGGGCACCTGTGGGCCATGTCCTGGTGAAGTCAGCAAAGCCAGTAAAGCTCAGACAACCTCTTGTCAACACGTCCAGTGCCCGAGCTTTTTGGTCCTCAGAAAAGGATATTCTAGGGCAGCAACCTTACTCTTTCTAGCTGGAATAGTATCTCAAAATCCAAAATATCACCAGGGAGGAGGGTGATCTGGTTTATAAAATCGGGGTAATGCTCAAGCAGGTGAGTGCACACCCAGGTTTGGAAGCCACTCTGCTGAGATGTCCAGCAGAAAGCCTCATTGTAAGTTAAAGACTATAAGAATGATGGGAAGGAAATGAAGGGCTAGGGTAGGACCCCCACAGTTGGGGAGACAGGACACGGCAGTTGAGGAACTGTGGCCTTGGCAGTGCTGGGGCCAGGAGGCCAGAGCTGCAGGCTATGGGAGCTCCAGGGACGTGGTTGACTCTGAGGTCCTTGACACGTGAGCTGGACTCACTGGAGACTGGGTGACTCAGAGCGAGTCACACTCTGCATCTGGGAACTCTATTTCTGTATAGGGATGATCTGATGTGCCCATATCCACCATGGCTTCCATGGAGCCCTAATAGGGCCTGAGCCTCTTTAGACTCTGAGAAAGCTGTAATTTTGGATAAATTTAAGCAGAGCTAGGAAATCTGCCCAGGCCTGGGCTCATTTGAGACTAGGCTGTTTCCCTGATTGGTCTTAGACTGGGGTAGGGTGGCTGAGATAAGGGACTGGAAACATGCATGCTCAGGGGTTCTGTTGGGGAGGAACAGCCCTCCTTGGAGACTGTAGGATAGGCCCACCCTGCCTGTATGGCTGGATCCCCAGACAGTAGAGCATCTTTCATGGAGAGGGGATTCACAAACAAGCAGAGTCCCAGAACCCTCTGGACAGGAGGAAGCCCCCAGCCTGGGCATCAAGGTCCTCTGACTCTCAAAGAGCTTTAGGAAATGCATCACTTGGGGCCCTGCCAATCTCAAGTTCTCCAGGTATTTCTTTGCATGAAAACCCAATATCTGGGGGGATGACTGGGGACAGGGACCAAAAGAAAGAGAAAGATCCCAGTTCAGGGCTCAGTCTGTGCAGATGGATCCCTGCACTCCTGTCTCTTGCAGGTCCCTTGGTGAAAGGGTGGGAGACACTGTAGGTGAGCCCCTTGTGCTTGCAGGGGCCATGCCACGGCGCTTCAGCTGTATCCATTCAAATAGTGCCAACTTCACAATTCTTTAGATTGATGCTTCTAAAACAAAACAAAACAAATCAAAAAATGGTGGGGCTCTCGTAATCACATCATGCTGCAGGGGGAGGCTGGTGAGAGATGGTAGTAAATCCCAACTACACCTGAGCACACAAGGCTTCTTGGAAGAACACATTCTTCCAAGTCTTCTGTGTCGTCTCTGGAAGGCAGCTCTTGGTCTCTGAGGCAGGTCTTGGAAAATAGGTTGTCCCGCAGTGGTTTGGGCAGCAGGGTGAGGAGGGCTGGTTCATCACTTTCTGTTCCTCACACCCGTCAGTAGGCAGTGCCCTGGACGCATTCCCGTTTGCATTTAGTAGAGGAAAAGCATGGGGTGGCAGGGGGCAGAGCTTCAGGGGTGGCCCAGTGCAAAAGGCTCCTTCCATCCCTTGGTCCTCAGAGCCCCCCAGAAGTCCTGGGAAGCATGAAAGTGGCTCCTCGCTCTTCTGCATCTGTAACTCCACCCTTGTGCTGTGATGGAGGCAGGCAAAGGAGGCCGAAAGGACTCCCTGCACTCCCTGAGCGGCAGCCTTCCTGTGGGGAGGGAGGAGAAGGGGAGAATGAGTCCCCTGTCTCCCCTTTGCTCTCCGAAGGCCTGACCAGTCCAACACCCTCCCCAGTGCCACTTAAAGCCACCTTTGGGCCCGTCGTCGCCCCGCGTGCCCGCAGTGCCCCTGCGCCCTGGGCACTCATCTATATGTTCTCCTCAAGTCCTCTGAAGCTTTTAGGGACCGGTGTCTACCTTCTGCGTCCCCCCTCCCCACCCCCAGCTCCCCGTTTTATGGCAGGACGGCCAAGCAGGGTGGAGATAGGCACCTTCGTTCGGAACAGGGTGTGATCTTCTGTCTTCTCCGCAGGAGTGATCATCAAGAGGAAGAGTGGGGAGATCCCCTGCCCCTTGGCCGTGGAGGCGTTCGCTGCTCACCTCAGCTACATCTGCAAATACGATGACAAGTACAGCAAGTAAGTGAACAGGCAGTTCGCAGCCACAGGAGGGCGCCTGCGGTCTCACCAGTGCGGACTACAGGCTGCTACAGGCTGCTGGGTGGGGTGGTGGTGGTCCCCCAGTCACAGAAGGGACAGAGCAAGCCCCCGGGAGACAAAATCCGGGCGCTCGCCCACGCAGCCCCCTCCCCGCTGGGCACCCTGCCTCCTTCCCTGCCAGCCTTGCCCTGAGGCGCCCTTCCTTCCACTCACTGGGCCCTGAGCCTGCACCCTCTGTCCCCCGGCCAGACCAGCCTCCCCTTCGTCCCCCCACTGTGGCAGAGCATGCAGCGTCAGTCCCGGGCGGCGTCACACAGAGCCCAGTTTTCTAGCACAGGTTACATAATCCTTTGCACCGTGGATGCCTGCAGTGGCTGTGGCCTCCGCATTGTGCACACGTCCATGCGCACCTGTACTCACCGTGGCAGGAACTCAAGAAGCGACTGCTAGTAACATTGAGTGTGACCAATAACAGCTAGGGTTGAGCCTTAAGACCTAGAACAAGGTTGGAGTAACCCCAAAGACAGGTGGGCATTTATTCAGCCCACCTGGAGGGGAATCTGCTGGGCTTCTTCATGGCAGAGAGAAAACCGAGGACCCAGTTCTTCCTGGAGTGCTCAGCCTGGGTCCGCAGGGGAGCCCCATGCCACAGGGAGTCCTTGAGCAAATGTTCATTGCCTGCCAGCTGTGTGCTCAGCACCTGCGGCTCTATGCGGTTGTTATAAAGAAATCTGCATTTATTTAGTAGACACATTAGAGTCCACCCTGTGCAGGTGGCAGTGAGGATACTGATCCTCAAACAGTCCTCAGTGGGTGCAGAGACGAGGAAGCAGGTGGAGGACACAATGCAGGGATTGGCCCTAGAGGGGTACCATCCTCAGTCTCAGGACAGAGGCCTCCCTGAGGTGCCATCTGGCCCGGATCTAACAGGAAGGAGGGGTGGCGAGGAGGCGGACGCATTGCAGAGGCCTGCAGCTGCAGGTGCACTTGCCCTTGGGAAGTGGAAGCAGTTCAGTGTGCGGGACGCAGCATCTGAGGAGGGCCCTTGGTGAGGAGGGTGGGCGGCCCTTCAGGCCCTATACCCTGGAGCTTCTGAACCTGGCCATGGCGGGCCCGGCCCCTGGTTCCAGCAGTGACCCACCTCCCACCTGATCCTCTGATAGGAATCGTTTTCGTCATCTTAGTCTTAAGTAAAGTTCACCGTGAGAGAGCCTCAGCGGGAGCCGGCCCGCAGCCCAATTCCTACCCCCCAGAGCTCCTCTGCAGCAGCACCGACCATGAGGTGGCCTTGGGGACTGTCTCCCCTGACCCGGGCTCCCATGAACCACCTGCATCAGCCTTTCTTATTCCTCTGCCCTCCTAGGTATTTCATTTCTCACAAACCAAACAAGACCTGGCAGCAGGTGTTCTGGTTCGCCATCAGCATCGCAATCAACAACGCGTACATCCTGTACAAAATGTCAGATGCCTACCACGTGAAGAGGTACAGCCGGGCGCAGTTTGGCGAGAGACTGGTGAGGGAGCTGCTGGGTCTGGAGGAAGCCTCCCCAGCCCACTGACGCCGAGGCGGCCAGGCTTAGGTGAGGCCCAGGTCCGGGAGGCTGGAGGAGGGAGAGAGCCTGCCGTTCGGACCTGCCCAGCCAGAGCCCTGGGGCGCCCCGGGGGTGGGCCCAGCCCGAGGGGTGCCCAAGGCCTCCACAGGGACCAGGGTGGGCCTGGTCAGAGGATGGCTGCTGTCCCGGTTCCCCTTCAAAGAAGAGCACGTCCTCTGTCCAGAAGCAGCCACCCACCCATGCCAGGACGGGTGCTGCACCCAGACTCCACATGCAGGCCAGAGTGCTGCATCCTCATGACACCCATGGAGCTCACCTCGGCGCAGGGGACCTGGGAAGGCCGTCGCCACCAGAGGCGCCGAGGAGAGGATGAGCCAGGCCATGTTCTGCTAGAAATGTCTGCTCTGTAAAGACACAAAGACATTTGTAACCTGGTTCTATCTCGTACCATGTCTGGAGGTGACCAGAAGCAAGCAGGTAGCGCTACGGTGGTCCAGGTGTGCACAGGAGACCAGAGCGCGCTCCGGCACTTGCCTCTCGTGAGCAGCTTAGAACGGGTCTCCTGGGAACAAGAAACACAAACTGGGTGCCAGTAGAATGCAGGGATGAAACGGGAGAGCGGTTGCCATTCTGCGTCCCTACTCGTTTCATCTCTCTGGCTGGTGGCCGGGGTGGGGGCAAGGGAAGATGCCAACAGAACCGCAGTGATGTGTGATGCTATTTTTTATTTTTAAATATATCTTCAGGTTATTTTCTTACTGTTGCTTAAGATCTTCTGTAAAAGGAAAATGTGCCCCTTCTTTTCCATTCCCCACCAATCCCCTCCACCCCCATCCGTGACTTTTTGCATGAGCACCGTTCGGTGTGCCTGTGACTGTGCCAGGACCCGAGAGGGCAGCTCGCTTCCAGGACAAACACGGTTCCACCCCATCAAGGATCGAGGGGGGGGCCTGTGGGCCTTTGGCTTCATCACAGGCATCACCCTTGGCAGAATTACGGTTTCGAAAAACCTGTAGCGTTGCTGGAGCAGACCGCGAAAGGTCTGGGGCCGGCACTTGCTGAGTCTCTCCTGCCCGTGTGTGGTGGCCTGGCAGTGTCTGTCCGAGCTCCCCCAGACCCTGGGAGCCCTGCGAGGGGCCAGTGGCGGGGATCTGCCATGGGGCTGGGGCCCAGCTCGCTCCCCCGGGGACTGAGGACCGCACGCCGCGTGCTCACTTCCCACAACATCGGGGGCCCCCTTGTGAACGTCCGTCCGCCTGTGTCCATGGGAGGCCTCGGCCCGGGTGGCCCACTGCTCTGACCATCCCCCACTGACGCGAAACCGTGATTTCTGGAGTTACACCATCCTCCCACACACACCCCAATTTATGTACCCCCCTCATATATTTTTTTTTCACAAAGGCAAAATCTATTCTACTCAGGCTTTGGGACTTTCTTCCTTGTTCCTACTCAGTGAATTCCAAGTGTTGCTGGCCGCATGCTCCGAACTCCATGTCATTTCTGTATCCTAGGTTCATGATGATCCCACCTCGCCCTGTGGTTTGAATTCGATGCCACGGATTGTAGGCCACATTTTCAATTGTGTTTCAGAACACCTTTGCCTGTCCTTTAATTGGATTGAAAGCACTTTTACCACATGGAGAAATATATTTTTAATTTGTGATGCTTTTCTACAAGGTCCACTCTTTCTGAGTCTAATGTGTTTCCAACACTTAGGGAGACTCTGATGAAAGCTGATGAATTTTCTTTTCTGTCTAAATAAGTAAAAAAAAAAAATAAAAGTCTATTTAGATGCTGATTCTTTGTTAGTATGTGAGTTTCTTTACAATGACAGGGACAACAGTACGGGCCACTCTTTTAAGACTCAACTTCTTGTTAGATCATTTGGTGTGTATGATCTTAAACTGTCCTTAGCATCCTGTGCTTCTGAGCAGTTTAAAAAAGAAATTCAGTCAAGTCTCTCTCTCTTTTTTTAAAGATTTTATTTATTTATTTATTTATTTATGTATTATGTATGTATGTATGTATGTATGTATGTATGTATGTATGTATTTATTTGACAGAGAGAGAGAAAGCACACCAGCAGGGGCAGAGGCAGAGGAAAAAAGCAGACTCCCTGCTCAGCAAGAAGCCAGACCTGGGGCTCGATCCCAGGACCTTGGGATCATGACCTGAACCAAAGGCAGATGCTTAACTGACTTGAGCCAACCAGGCGCCCTGAAATTCAGTTAAGTCCCAACTACTAGAAATTGATACTGATCCCCTGGCCCTGTAAAGCACAGTCATTCTAGGTGGCTCTGCCCCGGAAGACAGTCCAGCCTGCCTTCCAAATGGGATTCCTCCCCATTTCTCCCAGTTGGCCTTATCATCCACATTCACACACACAGCCACCGTGGGATGGCGGGTGGGTGACTTCGCGTGACCAAGTAATTAGAGGGACTTAGCCCATTTCAATGCTCTGGGTTTTAAGTAGTAACCAACTGTTTTCAGATAAATGCTCAACGGATAGGACTTTCTAGGGAAGCCCCTGCAAAGGTTGGGAAGAGTTTCTGTCCTTCCAGAAGGAGGACAAAGTGACACGGAGTACTGAATAGGAAAACCTGCAACTGGTGAGACCTTGCTGCACAGATGTGAGGCCAAGGGCCTTGTGGAGTGCTCCAGTTAAAATCCACCTGGCTCCAGTAGGCCCGTGGGCTTGAAGGCCCTCAGGTTGGCCCTAGATTGGCTCCTGTAGTATCTGGCTGCTGGTGGTGCCTGGAGGTGTGGGGGGGTCGGGCAAGAAGTGGCTCTCAGCAGAGTGGGAGCCAGGAGGCATGTGGGCAACTGCGTGGCATGGCCAGTGAGACCTTTCCGCCGGGGCCTGTTGCCATGCCCCACCACTGCCCTGTGGGATGGTTCTGCCGCAGGGTCTAAATGCCAAAAACAGAACAAGGAGTTTCCCGACCCTTGTGAAAAACAAAACGCCAGCAAAAATCTAGAAGTTTTTCCAAAGAAAGCTCTATTAGACCAAATGTACTGAGCTTCATGTGGTTTAGGTCACCAGAGAGTGGTGATATTCAGAATTAAGGTCAGGTTAAGCCTTCAGAGGAGGGAACTTGGGTGAGTTTTTGTTTGTATAGGCTGCTGCCTTCTTACAAGTTTCTTTCTTTCTTTCTTTCTTTCTTTCTTTCTTTCTTTCTTTCTTTTTTAAAGATTTTTAAGATTTTATTTATTCATGATAGAAGTAGAGAGAGAGAGAGAGACAGAGACACAGGCAGAGGGAGAAGCAGGGTCCATGCAGGGAGCCCGAGCGGAACTCGATTCCGGGACTCCAGGAGCATGCCCTGGACCAAAGGCAGGCGCTAAACCACTGAGCCACCCAGGGATCCCCTTACCAGTTTCTTTTTTTTTTTTTTAATTTTTTTTTTATTTATTTATGATAGTCACAGAGAGAGAGAGAGAGAGAGAGGCAGAGACACAGGCAGAGGGAGAAGCAGGCTCCATGCACCGGGAGCCCGATGTGGGATTCGATCCTGGGTCTCCAGGATCGCGCCCTGGGCCAAAGGCAGGCGCCAAACCGCTGCGCCACCCAGGGATCCCCTTACCAGTTTCTTTATGTCAGTCACGTTGTCTCCTCACACCACACAGCCTCAATTTTTAATAAGGTCTAACTATACTCAATGGAACATTATAATACTAAGGTCATATAACACGGATGAGTTACGTTGGAAAACTTTGGCATTTGGATCATTCTGGTTAAAGACATCCAGTTTATTGGTTCCATTAGACAAGGCCTGGCCTCCGGAATCGAATGAACTCTACAGTTGTTGCAGAGATGATGGCAGATGCCAGGACAGGGACTGGAAGGCCTGGCTCATTGTGCATGGCTGTGCAGTGGTCCTCAGGAAGCAGGCCTCCGCATCGAGCCATGAAGGAGGAAGGCCAGACCCACCCATGAGATGGACGTGGCAGTTGGCATGGGAGGGCACTTACCTGGCAGGCAGGCACCAGACCTGCCTGGCTTAGCATACTCCAGAAAAGACAGAATCAGCCTCAGAAGGCCGGAACCAGCCTGTATCTGACCAAAATTGCCAATTTGCCATACAACCGACTTCATGTGTCTGGAAAACACTTTCCTGGGAACCAGTTCTCCATTAGTATTTCTGGAAAGTGTGGCACTACATGTGAGCAACAAGTCAAAAAGTGATTCTAGCTCTTGAAGAAGTCATAACCAAGCAGAAAGAAAGTTTCTTACCTCATAAATACCCATATGCAGTTAAAATTTCTGTTCCTTCCATTCCGTCTCTGGCTTACACTTGGTTCTCTTTTCTTTTCTTTCTTTCTTTTTTTTTTTTTTTGGTTCTGTTTTCTCCAAGGAAATGGGGTACTGGCTACTGGCCCCTTTCTCCAGCCTGACAACTGGTGTGAGGGTTTGCTTGTCCCTGGTTAACTTCTAATGTCCCACATCATTCAGTAAGGTCACAACTTCAGCAAAAGTAGTGATAGGAAAAAATCATTTACTGGGAAGAGATTTTTAGCTATTGAAGAGGTTTTTAGCTATTTTAACTAGCTCTTTCCCTAGGCTTGGTGTCTTTAAAATGCATCTGTTTCTCAAAATATTAAAAATAGTACTACCAGGGGTGCAAGGAGTAAAGCATGCTACTCTTGGTCTCAGGGCCATGAGTTCAAGTCCTGTGTTGGGCATAGAGATTACTTTTAAAACGTAGTACTCCCATATGATCCAGCAATTCTGCTTCCGGGTATTTATCTGAAGAGAATGAAAACACTAGTTTGAGAAGGTATGTGCAGCCCTGTGATCACTGCAGCATTATTTACAATAGCCAAGATCTAGAAGCCACCTATGTGTCCATCAATGAATGAATGGGTAATAAAAGATATGGAGATATATATACACACACACGTATACATATATACACATAATACATATATGTATATCTTCATGCAGTAGAATTTTTTTAGCCTTCAAGAATGAAATCTTGCTGTTTGTGACAACATGGATCAACTTTGAGGGAATTATGCTAAATGAAATAAGACAAAAATAAATATCTCTTTTATATGTGGAATCCAGAAAATATAAATATATATTTATATGTATATAAAATTAAGCTCATAAATCTAGAGAACCGGATTGGTAGTTGCCAGAGGTAGGGGACAGGGAGTGAGAGAAATGAGTGACTGCTTTTTTTTTTTTAAGTTAGATTGATGCCAAAAAAATTAAAATGCATCTAGTTTCATAATTGAGAGCTTCCTCTCAGTGAATAGGATGTAGAAAGAAGAACAAAAGAAGGAAGAAGGGGATGTGTGATGTGTATTATTTCAGTAGATCAAAAAGAATGGGACGGTTACATATTATTTTTTAGGTGTAGATTTAAGGTCTGGAGTTGTGAGATTGTGGAGTTTTTCTACTGAGGCATTTTGGAGTCACTTTTATCTGTGTCAACACAATGCCGTACGTAGCTGATTGTGGCTTTTTAAAGTGTGTGCCTCATCAGTATCTACCAGTATTTAATCAGTGGAAGGACGATATCCAAAGTGGGACCAGCACTCTACCAGATGCTGTACAGTTAAGGCATGAGTCCCATCCTGGCCACCATCCTACAAGAAGAGACGACAATGACCAGTTAGGAGGTCCTGGCAGCCAGGACAGTGGGTCCACATAGAAACAAAATGATAGGGGCAGTTGGGAAAACGGGGTGATTAGCCTGGTTGGTGAGGCGCAGACTCAAGAGGGAAGGTGACGTTGTCTCCGACTCCCCAGTCTCCTAGGCACCTCGTGGTGCCTATCAGTAGGAATCGGACGTCAGCTCACTGGGGAGAGTAGGTTCCAGTGTCTAGAGATGCTGGGCCCTGGGACAGGACACCTCAGAAAGCAGGGAACACTCTGCCCATGACTGAAGGTCTTCCACCAGAGGCAGTTCCCGACATGGGAAGGTCCCAGAGGGCGTTGTGTGGGCAGGAGGTGGCCTTGAGCCCGGGCTGTGGGCTTGAGCAGGACGCACCTGCTGGCAGCCCTGGTCTTAACTGAGGAGAAGCAGAAGATAGATGAGGCAAAGGCCTGGCTCCTGGGCTCCTGGGCAGAGGCTGCTGGGGATGAAGAAGGAACCAACGTACGAAGACGAAGACAATTGCCTCTGCAGAGGATGCCCCAGCTCCCAGCTGCTCACCTTCCTCTGCCCCGGCTGGAGGTTCCCACTTCTCTGAGTTCAGGGGCAGCCGCCACCAGCAACAGGAAAAAACGTGTCAAGGAATCTAGAAAGACTGCTGCTTTATTTGAAAACCTCTTTGCACCCTTACATTATCTGGCTTTTCCTTACGGTTTCCAGTTAAGATTCATTAGGAGGAAGATTTTAATCTTATCATAAACTGCACTTCTGTAGCCGCCCTCGGGGGATGTCACACACCTACATCCCCGTCCCTCTAGTGAAGATAAAGTGTACCCTTCTGTCAGGATTTTAATGTCACACTAACCCTTGCAGTAAATCTTTACACATTTTGTATATCATGTGCTACATTCTGAATCCTAAAATGTGAGGTATTTCATGTACAGACGCACATACACAAATGTATGTGATTTAACCCTGGTATCGCGTGTGGTTTTTATCTCTTCAGCAAAGTCTGTCTACAGTCAGCAGCTTTGAAATCCAACCAGATATGTTGCATTTGCTTCTCTCTGGGGGAGGGAGGCTATGATGAAGGAAATTCATGAAAAGCATCACAGGACCTGTTGCCAGATTACATAACAGCAGAGGTTGGGGAAAGCCTGGCGAACCCACCCTATGGATTCCC